AGTGAGAAGTGGAAATGTGGGAAGTAATGTCTATAATAATTTAAACTTACAGTTGTCATTGTTATAAAAGAGAAGTAGAAGCCAGAGAAGAACTGCCAGTTTTCCCACGATCCTAGCAGTACAGCGCCGACGGCCATGTAGCCGAGGAGTATCACAACAATTCAATGCCACTGGGATCGAGATGTACTGCTCGAGACCCTAAACAGGATGTGTAATACGGAGGTGATTACGAGCGATTCAAAGAGGAACCATGAAATTGTTGTTGTTGTTGCTTATTGAATTTTTTTTGTTTTTGAATCTTTTTGTTCTATGTAGCTGAAAATTGCTGCAGGCAGGTACTTCAACTTCACACAAAAGACCCGCAGAAGGCGAAGTCCATAAGGTTAACCAGATGAAATCCATACTTTTAGATAGAATAAGAAAATGCTGTCTTTTGAAATTCATAGGTAATAAGTGTTTTGCATAACCACTTAATTTATTCCTGCAGGGAAGACGGCCAGCAGAAGTGGGCTGATTGAGAGCGAAAATCGGGTGCGGTTCACGGGGAAGGGGGAACTCTTCCCAGCACAGCGGACTGCCGTCAACTTTGAAACTTCAATGCCTGTTGTCTTAAGTACAATCCGCACTGCTACTGCACTATGTCAGGTGAATTTCCACGGCAGTCCTAAAAACGATGACTCGCAACCGGAGGAGATTTGGCGACGTCAATGGTGGAAGGACGTCGAAAGGCGACCGATCACACCGAGGTAAGCAAACCAGCCCTTTTGGCTTCTGCTGGGGCCGTATGCTGAATGTTGGGGAGGGGATGGGACTACTTCAACTCGGTCCTTAAAACCGCCTCAATTTGGATGCTTACCTCAGAACTAAGCCTTAAAGAGAGGAGGACGGGTCCGTCCCCTCTCCAAGGCTTAGTCCTGGGGTGAGCAAACCAGCCCTTCTGGCGGAGCTGCTGGACCAGCTGCACCACTTGCGTCAGTACTCTCCTACCGTACCGACCGAGTTGAAGTAGTCCGTCGACCGTCGGGGACCCCGAGAGAGGACGGATCTGCGCTCTCTCGCAGGTCCGTCCTCTCTTTAAGGCTTAGTCCTGAGGTAAGCATCAAATTGAGGCGGTTTAAGGACCGAGTTGAACCATCCCCTCCCCAACATTCACCATACGGCCCCAGCAGAAACGCCAAAGGTCTGGTTTGCCAACTCCGATCACATCTGTTAGAGAAGTGTGGGAGTGGTCGGACGTCTCCCCACATTCTCCCACCAAGAATGCCTCAAAATTATCTCCACCACCCAGCCATCGTCTGTACAACTTCTAGAGTACGTCACTGCATTGATTCTCCTTACTTGTACCTGCATTAGCTGCTCTCCTTCTCGGTTAGTCTCGTCCTTTGTTGGCAGTGCGGCATAAGTTGGACGGTGGCACTGTTTTCGAGCTTTGGAGTACCTGTAATCAAAGTGCATTGCTGGATGTATCCTGAACTCGCCCAGAGTGTATCAGGTAGGCGGCCAGATAAGGCAGAGAAACAAGGGAGTTCTATAGCCTGCGGTACGCCACAACATCACACCTCGCTTGTTTCTAAGTCCTACCTAGCTGTACTCATGAAAATTTCGCAAATGGGATTCTGGCTAGAGGATAGTTTCGGCCATGGTGAATAGAACGTCGGAGGTCGGAGAAGGAAAGGAACTATATCTCCTAGAGAAAGTCCGTGCGCAGGGTTCCTTTGTTATGTAAAGCGGTGTGCGAGCTGGTCTGAAACATGTGTAAATCCTGAGCTGCATCCAAGAAAAACTTTTGCAGTAACGTAGTTCCTTTAATCATTAACTTTTATCTTATCACTGAGTGTGTTTTTATTCACGAGCCGTGACAATAGTTCACGATTGCATTTTGCTTGCATTTCACACCCTCTGTCTCATTTAGCCCCGTCGTGACCGCCCAGAGGCTTTTTATCTCTCTAGCTCCGTTAACGGGGTTTATCAATGCCACGTCTGAGCTCTGAGCACATGTGCTGTAGGTCATTACTACTGAGTACGAAATTATGGAGAGAATTATTCGTGAGTACGCTCGAATACTACGTCCATTTAAATTCAATTGACCTCTCAATGTGTGGACAAGAAGGGTCGAGCATTGGACTCTTAGTCTTTAATCTTCGGAATTGTCTTGCGTTCTGCACGAGCCTTCTTGCTGCGCACTATCTATTTTAAATACCGCACCCCGATGACGCGACATTAGGGACATTTCGGTCTTGTATTTTCCAACACTCTTCTCGTGGGCTGACTTCTAGATCACGCTCAACCTTTTTCGTCGCACCCGCATGCGTGTGGAGAGCACGCGAGCACTGGGAGTCTCTATCACACGTACGCATTAGTACGGTATCGTAGTCTACGCATTCCATACGGAAAATTGGTATACCTGGTACATGAAAGACTCGAGAATCATATACCAAACCAGCCCACTATTGAACGTTGCGCGAAGATCTTGATGTGGAGTTACTCAGTGGCCTCGATCCGTGCAGCGCCAGGCTTCACGGTTGTCGTCGTGACATGAAAATAGTTGCGACTTTAACGATCAATCTGTCGCCAATCACTTTCTGCAGTCATGGGGTACATGAACTGCCTAGAGAACTTTTCTACCCTTCGCATCCGGAGACGCAGCAGCGTTGAAGGCAATGTAGCCTATCCATTGCACATGGCTGTCAGAATGGAACATTTCACGTATCAAGAAACCAATCAAAGGAGCATTAGGTCAATTTTATCTATACCTTTTCACAACCAACTCGATGAAAGTATGGCCATAACAAAAACGAGACTTTGATAACACTCGTCGGACTTGGAAACTACATGGGTGAAGCTCTAACCTATGCTATGTCACTTGCTTGTCCACTTTCAGGATTCACCACTTCCCTTTATATCGCTTAATCTCTGCTTTAGCTAAACATCGAGCGCCATTACATCATTTGTAAATAACTCATATGTAATCAGTAACCACATAGCGAGTCTTAGTTTGAGCAATTTGCAACAAAGTAATCCTGCGTAGCGAGGTCTGTAGCACACACATGACGTTTTTCTCATCTTAGACACACGTGAACTTTGCAAGAACAATAAATGCTGACTAATTTTCTTATGTTACACACACTTACTTGCACGACTGTCACTCCATTATCTCAATCTCAATCATTATGGGTTATAATGTTATGCAAGATTATAAACTTTTTCGGCATAACTATGAAATTTCGAATTGTTTCGACATAAGCTTAAAAACTAAGAAGGTGGGCCAATTTTCAAAGCTTCTTAGTTTCTTTGTTTGTGATCGAATAGCTTCCAAATTTCGCCATAATGATACCTATATGCTCACAAGTAATAAACAATAGCTAGAAGAAAAATTTCTCCACGGGGAAAAATTCAGGTCCGAAAGGGTTAAATTATTGAATACATATACTCACACTCGAATAATACCAAATGATGTTTTCCGAGAGGAATTTGCCGATATCCGCTACTGTGATCAAAATTAGTGGCACACCCAGAAGAGCATAAGCGATGCAGAACATCCGTCCATGCCACGTAACGGTACGAGGTTACCGTAACCTGAAAAAGCATTGATAAACGTAAAATCCGAGCTCTCTCTCAATGTACCTATCGTTGTAAAGTGTAGCGTGAAGAAGAGTGCAGTGATGAATGTCCAGGAATACTGAAATACATATTGAATGAGAAGCTGGTCTGGTATTTTTTTTATCTACCAATCTCAATTTGCAGACCGCTTTGGCGGAGCCTCCTCACTATTTCGGCCGTCCATTGTGTCGCCTTAGGCAAATAAAATAAGCGCCCCTTCCATTCTCCTTGCACGTGTTGTACGGGAAAACGATTTACGGGGAAACCCTAAACCTTCGTTTACTTAATAGTGCCGCAGAATTGCCATCTTATTCCAAACACCCTAAAGCCGATGTCAGACTTTGCGAATCGCGCGATTCGCTAGCGTCTGCGGTCGCGTCGCGGCCAGTGAATCACTCAATTGGCTGGCACCGCAACGCGACCGCGGACGCTAGCGAATCGCGCGATTTCGCAAAGTCTGACATCGCCAACGTGGATTTACCCGCTGGTAGCCCTTGGGAGTTTAAAGGACGAATTCACGCTGGAAAGGCAACCCATTTCAAATTAACCTTAGCGATGGTGAGTGGTACACGAAGAAGGAAAAACCATGAGAAACGGCCCAGAACCCGAGAAATGGGACCCCTTCCTTGCCCGTTGATTGAGCATTGATGCGACTCTCATCGCTGTGCCCTCTTCAACACTACGCTCTCTCAGCTATCTAATCACTCGCCACGTATTGAACTACGGCGAGTGATCAGATGATCGGTGGGCGGAGATCGCCGAACCCGCCACCAGCTTTGAGGCATGATAGGTCGCCGGGGGGTCAAATTTTTCCATGCGAATGGCGCGTCAGTTCGCACCCTCAGGAAGTCCGTGGGTCCCTCAACTAGGTCAGTTTCCCTTTCTTCGACCTTCATTCTAATCGTAAATTCTCCCGTAATAACTTCGTATAGCATATGAAAAAAATCAAATCAAGAACTACCAATAATTCAGGAATCGGGACCCACCTTCCCGCGATTTCCAAATTTATGCGACTCTCATCAGTGCTGCCGCTCTTCAAGCTAACGCTCTCTCTCTCTGTCTCGTCCCAAACCGCTCGAGCCCTAGACAGCAGGAGAGCATTCTCCCACGATAGCGCCCATGAAAATCGTCGTCGTCGCTCGGGCCATCTCCTTTCGACGCTGTAATTGTGTGTTGGTCTGCACTCATAGTCCGCTTTCAAGTCGTGTAACTTTCTCTTCCGATTTTCCTCCTTACCGGAATCCTTTTAGGAGTGAAGATTAAGGTAAGGTTCTATGCGCGCCGTAGTTTTTTCGGCGCTATGTTCAGGAAATTTTCAGTTGATTCCAAAGTAGACTGCGGCAATGTGCTGCTGCAGCACTTTTCCTAGCTAACTTCTTGCGCTCCGAGTACTTGCCGCCTCGTTCTCTCCACCGGGCTTCAGAAGTGCTGCACTGATGAAATGTGTATCAAATGCCTCGAAGAGAATGCGAGTTGAATTTTCCACGTACAGACTTGCTCGTTCTTCAATCAGGTCTGAAAATTGGTGCAGGTGTATGGAATAAGAAACCGCGTTAAGTTGTTAATCACCTGCGGTCACCAACTCGACAAAAAGAGTCAACAGTCATTCTACCATTCGTCGTTTCCTTGTGCTGGTTGACACGACTGTATTCTGACTCTACGTACGGCCCTCGGTTTATTAATATAAAAAATAATCTTACTTGCAAACGAAGCTTAATTACTATTGAATTGCATAATGAAGCTATCATTTCTAACATANTTAAGCCCCATCTCCTCAAACCAACCATATAAATTTTATATTTGTATGACCTCAAACTCAATCACTAATCAAACTTGTATGAAGAATTGCTAGCGCTTGTCGATTCTTCAGATCGCTGCGCATTTAAGTACTCGATCCCGAACTTTCCGAATATGTGACATTGTAGTGGAAGGGCTGCAGGAGTGATGACTTAATAACGTACATTCGCGTCCCATAATTATAACTACCACCTTACTATTTCCCAAAATCTCACCAATATAGATGTTTCGAAAAATGTCTCCAATGTGACAATGTATCATATATAAATGCGGAATTGCTTATGAGCATCAATTTCCTATTTAAGATCCCTAGGAATTTTTTTTACAATAATTTTTGTCTAAAAGGCCACTCTGCCGACGTCCCAAAATTATACGTCCACCTCACGTTTATCGACTACTTTTCACTTTTGTTCCACGAAACTTTTTCATTGTAGTAACACTTCACTTCTTAAGGGGACTGCATAATAAAAACGGCTGTTGGATTTTGAAGAAGGTTAGGTTGTCGCAAAAATTGTGGAACAACGCATTCACGCCAGATTTGGACCAAATTCACGCCAAGCTAAAGAACTTCTTCAGGGATTTTCACATGATATGGAGTTCAGAAGAGCTTTAAAGGTCTCTCATTACTTTTCGAACGAAACATCAAGGCCGTGTCACAAAAGAAACATCCACTTTCATCCAACGGTGCTCTGTCATCGAATCTTCTTCAGAACTTAATGCCTCAACCAACTTTTGTTTCACGTGTGTGAAGGAAGTCCCAAGATCATTCTTGATTAGTGAATGTGAAAGGCATTCATTTGTGGCAAGGAATCGTGGCGAAAGCTGGGCTGATTTTTGCATGAATTTGCAGCCGAGCCGACTGAAGTCAGGTTCCCTTCTGCTCGATATGTTTTAGCATTTGTTTGTTTTTGTTCTCACGTTTACCTTTCCCACAGTGGCTTTTTTCTCAGTAAAGCACTACTAGAAGAAAGAAAATGTGAAAAAGACAAAGAAGCACTTATGCATGGCAAGCAAAAACGAACCTTGCCTCGGTCGGCTCGGCTGCACCTTCATGCAAGAATCAGCCCAGTTTTCGCCACGATTCCTTGCCCACAAATGAATGCCTTTCACATTTCACTAATCAAGAATGATCTTGGGACTCCTTCACACGTATGAAACAAAAGTTGGTTGAGGCATTAAAGGACGAATTCACGCTGGAAAGGCAACCCATTTCAAATTAAGTTAGCGATGGTGAGTGGTACACTAAAGAAGGAAAAACCATGCGAAACGGCCCAGAACCTGAGAAATGGGACCACTTCCTTGCCCGTTGATTTGAGCATTGATGCGACTATCATCGCTGTGCCCTCTTCAACGCTACGCTCTCTCACCTATCTAATCACTCACCACGTATAGACCTGCGGCGAGTGATCAGATGATCGGTGGGCGTGCACTGACCAGCCGCGGCGGGATTAAACCTTAATAGGTCAACGAGGTCAACTCCTCCTGTGCAAATTGTGCTTTCAGTTCGCACAACTTAGGAGCTCCGCGGGTCCCTCAACCAGGTGAATTCTTCCTAATTCGATTTTCCCTCTGATCGCGAATTCGTCCTTTAAGTTCTGATGAGAAATTCGATGACAGAGCACCGTTGGATGAAAGTGGATGTTTCTTTTGTGACACGGCCTTGATTTCGTTCGAAAAGTGATGAGAGACCCTTAAAGCTCTTCTGAACTCCATATCATGTGTAAAACCCCTGAAGAAGTTCTTTAGCTTGGCGTGAATTTGGTCCAAATCTGGCGTGAATGCGTTGTTCCACAATTTTTGCGACAACCTAACCTTCTTCAAAATCCAACAGCCGTTTTTATTATGCAGTCCCCTTAAGAAGTGAAGTGTTACTACAATGAAAAAGTTTCGTGGAACAAAAGTGAAAAGTAGTCGATAAACGTGAGGTGGACGTATAATTTTGGGACGTCGGCAGAGTGGCCTTTAGACAAAAATTATTGGAAAAAAATCCTAGGATCTTAAATAGGAAATTGATGTTCATAAGCAATTCCGCATTTATATATGATACATTGTCACATTGAAGATTTTTCGAAACATCTATATTGGTGAGATTTTGGGAAATTTTTAGGTGGACGTATAATTATGGGACGCAGTGTACTTACTGTCTTATACCAGGCGCACTTCCGGCTAGAACATCATCCATGGCCAACCGCAAACTTGTTATGACCTAAACTATTTACCAGCTCACTTGGGTCACGAAAGTCAGGTAGGTCCAAGAGTTCCCTTTCCATAGTGAGAAATAAGTGGATCGCGCGCCCCAGGAAAACGACCCTGCTCTCGACTCACAAGTACAGCAACGACGCTACGCCTTGTCTTTATGTGTGTCCCGTTGCGCCATCCTTATCATTTCGTGGCATAGATCTGATCTAGCCTCTCTGCATTACAAAGTCTAAACTTCGCTTCCTCCTCTCCTCGCAGCGCTGTGTCTCTTGCATTGAATTCGAGCAGCAGCATTCGAATGGAACAAGCATGCGTGGCGCATCTGCCCCAGAAGGGTGGGTATCCCTGGAGGCTTCAACACTGCACTTTTTAGCTTGTGGCGGAGCTAGCCGCCAGTCATGTCTTTCTTATTAATCACGCGTGTCAATAATACCGAATGAAAGTGAAGTTTACCGTCCTCTATTCAGTAAAGTGGATTCTACCAGTAACCTGGGCTTTCCATCGGATCGACTGCTTGCTATAGCTTTGACCGGTGCCTGATAGAAATAACTTAGTTATATATGATAAGTACTTCCCATAGATAGATCAGCTAAAAGATTTGCAGAGCTTCCGAAGAATTCCTAGGCACATCTCTATTCTGTATTCAGAGCCGCCGATCATCGCAGCACAGATCGCAGAAATCGAGTTTCCGTGATCATATACTTTGCAATCTGCCGCAATCCCCGATGGTTGACTTGACGAACTTCAATTCTGCAATGTGCTCTCCAATCCCGCCGCCATTTCTGCTTGATGGTGATGGTTGAATGACGACTGTTCATGATTCTACTTGTTTCATATTCAGTGTTTCAAATTCAAAGGGGCACTTGCAATTTTTGCGATTCGCGAATCGCGCGACTGATCGCGGACTTGACACCAGCGTAAGAATTATGAAGATTATTACTGCGTGACCGAAAGGGCAATATAGAAATGAAAAAGAATAAAATGAGAGAGGGAGGAGAAACGTTTGTAAGAGAACCTCATTGGGTCGTTCCATGTGATAGAAAGCCACTGCTCCACCGACGACATAGAGCAGCGAGAGCAGGATGAGTCCAACATGTGGCAGCACAATTCGGGCGTACTTCTTCCAGGTTGGCATCTGTGGGACTGCGATCTGAAAAAAACTGGTATCACTAAATGTTGTAAAATGATCAGGCAAAAATTTTCTCTTCATTTCTCAGCATCAAACCTCTTTCTGCTTAACCTGAATTATTCCTGACCTGTGTGGCATTCGCGTTCAAGCGCGAATCGGCAAAAGTACGGCCGATTCGTAAAGTAGCAGCTCGGCCGGTGTACGGTAGTTGTGTAGTGATAAAACCCATATCTCCTCTAGGAGAAAACACTATTCGGAATAGCGAAAAATGGCGATGTGAACGGTAAACAAAACCGGATCCATTCGAAATACTCGATTCCATTAGGACTAGTATAGCGCCAACAAGGGCTCAGAAGATCCAACTGGGGCTTTGCCAAAGCCAGTGGCGGAAGATAATGGTAACATTTCTTCAGAGAAATCAATATTTGGAGTTTCATGATTTACTGGAAGGATTTCGCAGATTCAATAGATTCGTTAGAAAAGCGCTTTAAGAAATTCTTGCTGGAAAAGTTGGACCGGAAGAAAGCTCAACAAAAAGAAGGGGGCGACTAACAAAGGGCTGAAGTGTTTGGCAAGTGTCTCTAATCCTCGATTCGCATTCTTCTAGGAAACGCTTCTAAGGGCATCTTTGATCGTCATTATTATGATGAAATCGTCCGATTTCTCACTGAGTGATGTCGCACATCTAATCAGAAAAGGTCATTAAAGAGAACCAGGCCAATTGATTGAGATGTACATTTTTTAGACGCCCAGAGGCGATGAGCTCAAATATGCTTTCATTATTTGTTCAACGGTTCGTTGGAATTAGTAATGAAATTGAAGAGTGCAGCAGAAGTGGTTCGGGCTCACAAACAAGGAGCCACGAGATCGACTATTCTAAACTGCGCCCTGAACGTTGTTTGAAATTCAAATTTTTTCGATTTTCTCTGAATGAGGTTGTTGGTTGGTACGTGTTATTCGTTCCGCAGATTGTGCTGCCTCCGCAAAGGCGCCGTCGTTCAGCTTTGAACAGTGAGAAAGTTTACGGGAAAGGTAGTTAAATAAATAAGTAAAGAAATAAATGGATAAGTAGCACATCCAGGAGTTTCATGATACATTTGTATAGCGAATATCCATTCCTTTTTCTTACCGAGGGGCCTGTCTCATTGCAAACTTATCCAGTATATGGATCGATAACATCCAAGCACGGAGCAAAGCATCCAGCGACAATCGATCCTCCTCGGACATCACACTTTACTATGGGATTGGATTCTGCCTGTAGAAAAATTTTTCTACGTGGGAACCGCGATGTGCTACGTGTTGGATCGCTATAACTGGCATTCGTCCAAAGTCACTGCTTGAGTACAAATGGTGCAAGATATCTTGGAGTACAACTGTTACACATAAGTAATGTCTGAGTGTAGTTTAATCGGCGCATATATGAACTAGAAGTTGTTCATCTATCGTAGGAGAACATTCGTCTCTCTCACGTCCTCAGGGACGTGGCATCGCTCATTCAGAAAGGATAGCTTTAGGATTGATGGCGCTTTTCTGCGCGAAAGAAAATCATCATGTAGGTCGGTGGTATTGGACAATTAAGCCACTTCCGACTTTTTCACCGTTTTTTTCAGAATAAATTTTTCAGAGTTTGGTCTCAGCTTTACTGTTCCATAAATATCTCGACAGAATCAGAGCAGATAAGTACCGAATGTATTCTCAGTTCTTCTATAAAATTGCGATTGCAAAAAAAAAATACCGGAGCTAAGGAGTCAGAAAATCTGATATAGCAGTATGTTCACTGATCGGCGCACGGGTTATGCAAGGGACAATGGTGCTTCTTGTCTTTGCCTTAGCTCTAAGTGACTAAAAAATGGAAACAAAGCGATGAAGCATTTCGACCAAGGCCTTTTTGGCATGCTTCAAGCACTTTTCCATGCAGAATTATGGTAAAATTTGGATGAGATTTGACCTATACAACGAATAGCGGATGCCGGCTGATGTACAAGCCGATCCCAGGGTAACATGGAACCAACCGGTGCGAAGCAGAAAGTTTGGTTAGCGACGGCGGAATTCGATCCAGGATTTGGCCCCTTGACCGTGCGCATAAGCGTTGAGGCCACTTGCCCCTGCACCAGTTCTGTCCTACTAATTACAACACTGACAATATTCCTAGTAAATGTGCTAACCATAAGTCTGCCTGTCCGTCTGTGTATGTCTGTTCTGTTCGTCTCTCATGAAATGCGGTACTACCTGAAGAACCCCCTAGAGAGTCCGGGTCAAGTTTGGGAGGGGGGGGGGCATGGGTCAAGAAGTACAAAGCACATCTCGGCTGGGCGTAGCTCCGCCTATAATGGACGGGGCATATGCCGAAGTGGGTGGTGCCGATGGCTAAAGTTTCGAGTCGGGTTATTAGAAGGGCCTGAGGACCGGAAAATGATTAAAGGTACGCGCTGAGTTGATAAGTCCAATTACGAAGACCTCTCCACTTTGGGCGGAACATTCTCCAAGTAGTTGGTGCTTAAAAAACATTCATAACTCGGTCAGGAGAAATGGAGCAGGAAAGGATAGATTCAAAAAGGCACACACTCTGGGTTCAGCAGACACGTTTCGCATACCGTGGGCGCGTTTCCGCTCAGTTCAGCACACCTGGACTGAGCGGAAGCCCGCCCACGGTGTGCGAAGCGTGTCCCTAAGGGAGCTTGTTTTGTTACAAATTCGCATAATTCGGTTCAGAGAGGTCCCAGAAACCGAGAAGAAAGTGAGTAGAAGTCAGGGAAAGAGGGTGATGGTGGGCGTGGGTGTATCAAAGTGGGCGGAATTCGCCAAGCAACTTTATAATTCGGCTTTTAAGAAGTCCCGGAGACCAGGGAAAAAGTGGCTAGAGTTTGACAGTGGAAAGGAGGTCAACACCTGTTGGTGGGTGAGGCGTGCACCAAAATGGGCGGAACTATCCGAAATTTCATAATTCTTTTTCAAGAAGTCCTGGAGATCGCGAAAAAGTAGGTAGAGTCTGACAAAGGAAGTGAGGTCAATGCAATTGGTGGGTGGCACCGAAGTCGACGGAGTTATCCAACCTCTACAAAATATCGATGGCCCGTTTTATTCCATTACAGTCCCGTGTAATGCACGAGAAGCCAAACTGCTTGCTATTATGACGATACAAAACTGAGATTTAAATTACAAAGAATTTGTTGTAGATGATCCTAAAGTTGGATACAAAGGAATTGCAGTAATAGTTCTAAAGTTGGAGGTGACAGAGGAATTGCCAGTAATATCCATTAATATTCATCATATTCAAGTCCCAGGAGCAAAACGATCTCTGTAGGCTAGATATATGAATGACGCAGCGCTCAAATGGTCCGACGGCAGGAGGGGATCAAAGAGAATGTTGTGTAATGTTTTTGCTACTCCATGGTGCCCCCGGTAGCATGCGGTTCGAGTCCCGTCCGGGGCAAAATTTTGTTCATAACCCAGCACATCTGTGAAGCTGAGCTTACTCGTAATAGAGTAAAAGCTGATTTTCGCACTTACAAAGGTCATTTTGCCAAATATAATAATCTCCATTCAGAGGTGCTTTTGAAGCAAATGTAGGACAAGATAGACGAACATCGTTCTAACGCCCTGAACAAATGAATGACATGCTCCATTTACTTAAAAGAGAGCAGTAGAGGGATATGGAATGAGGTTTTGAGGGTTGTATGAGCTGAAGCCGTTCCAGAGGTGTGCAATATAACCCCCAGCTTTATGCTAGTGAAACATGTTCGTTTCAGTGGAAGACAACGGAGAAGAGTTGGAGATGAGAGGATTATCCAGAGCAGCGAATTTCATTATTTGCCAAAGAGCGTCGGATAATTAGCGTATTTTGCGTGAAATTGGCAAACACCCCTGGGGACAGATCATGCTTCATGTCATATTCGTTCGTCGGACCCCTTGACGGTGCCACCCTTGGGACATACGGGGGTGAACAGACGGAAGGCTAGACAAGTTCTGCCGGACGACTGGCCAAAAGGCGTCGAACTCTTTTTGTCTTTGTCTATTTTTAACCGTTAGAAAAACAATGCACAGCTGAATTTGATTGTGGAAACACTGCCACGTAATTCAATATCGGGGGTGATTGGCGGCACGAAATTAGCCTCAGGGTGTACTTTGAAGAAAGAATTTGCGCTGTGACTTATCGATAACGTGGCGGTCGTGCCTATGCAGTTTTTGTTCCAATAGCGCAGAGGGAATAGAGGAGGTCAGAAAGAGCATACGAGGTAAACACTCAGAAATTTCTCCACCCCCATCCTGGATCGTGAGCCGAGAGGCCAACCAAACCTTCCATCCCTCCGGGGTCGGTTAATTGGTACCAGACTTGTCTGGGAGGAAAAACACTGACTTGTACATCGGCTGGCCCCGCAAGTCATTGTATAGGCCACATCGCATTCAAACGCCACTACGAATTGTGAACAGAAGTAGAATGCGTGGCGCATTTCGAAAACTTATTGACCAAGTCGAATGTGTTATCATTTTAGTGTTCAAGTTCGACTTTGTATAAATCTTGGCACAGTCCAGAATACGAGAGTGTAGTTGCTAAGCTTTCATTTTATTTCTTAGGAACACTCACTACCAGGGTCAACCGTCAGTTCGCACCATTCAAACGAAGACGTCATATTTGTGATTTCGGGAAGGGGGTGCATTTTGGGGTTGAGCAAGATTATAGTGCGAACGGAGGTCGTTGCCATTCAGACGGATTTTTGAAGGATTTGGTGAAAAACCTAGGAAAATAGCGTGAAGTAAGTGAAACAATCAAAACTGCAGGGTTTTGCTGCTTCCTGAATGACACCTCCCCCCCCCCTCTGCTGGACGGAGTTGGGTGGGTCCCAGGTATCAGGATCAAATATATAGGACCTAGAAACCCGCCATAAAGGGGCGAGCAAGTGGTGGGGTAATGGTTGAGGGGGTGGCCGAGGTCGGTGGGGGAAAGGAGGTGGGTCGCACTTGAGAGAGCCTCTGCTGATACTGATGGTTTGGTGGTGGTGGGGGGGGGGGGGGGGAACCGCATGGAAACCCCTTAAAAGGATGGGGGAGGCGAAAATTTTTTTTAAAAGGGCGAACATGACCGCTGACTCTGCTCACTACCAGCTCTCTCTACAAAAGATGTGTTAAGTGTCTGACGAAAAGATTGTTTAGACATTGGATACTATGTGGTTTTTGTGCGTGGCTGTCACAAAGCTCACTAACCCTAAGGTCTACCCACGCAGACAGAGTCAAGTGTGGGATAAGTGGGTCATGTCCTTAGAAGTACAGAACACCCGTGCTAAGTGGAACCCTGCCCAAAGTGAGCATGGCATGCATCGTCATGAGCGGTACTGACGACGGAAGCATTCAAATTTGATTCCAAAACCGACTAGGCATCGGTGAAAAAAAGTGGTTAGTGGTGCACAGTGTTAAGCCATATCGAATTAGAAAGGTCACCTGCGCGTTTGGGCGGGCTATTCAATCGGACACGCCGGTGCTTTAGGGGTGAAGAAATTCGGTTACTCGGTTAGCGAGAAAACCACAGTGAGGGAAGTCTTAGTTTTTGGAAAACACTGTCTAAGATTTAATCTCAATACATTGCATATGTGGAGGCCCGCCTACTATTGGCGGAGCGTGTCCTCAAGCAGACAGCGTTCCCTACGAGTCCTAATAATTCCATTCCGGGAAGTATCATAGGACAAGAAGGGAGCGGATAAAGGTCAGAGAAGGAGGGGTTAATAAATGTTAATGGTGACCGCAAGGTGCACCAGTGGGCGGAGTTTGCCAGTTCATGAATCGCTTCAGAGATAGTTTAGAGAACGAGAAAAAAGTAGATGGATCTTATCGAAGGAGGTAAGGACAAACGCTATTGGTGGGCGCAGAGTGCGCTTAAGTGGGCGGAGCTGAGATCAAAAATCGTCAAATGACCCAGAGTTAGCCACGGCCACGAAGAAAGCGGTTAGAATCCAGCCTGAAAGGGTGATTTCAATCTTGGTGGTGGGTCGGGTTAAATTTGAACATTTTGGCCGCACAGCTTCAGCTCGCCACGCTGCGCAGCGCCACCTCGTCACTTATCAAAAAGGTCCTTAGTTCAGGTCGATAGTCACTTGAAGTGGCTGTGGCCCCAAAGCTGTTTACTGTTAACCCATTGCGGAGCGCATGCTGCACAATATGCGAAATATCGCACGCCGTTCGCTTCGCTTGATTTTGATCTAATTTGTTAAGCTGAGGCAAGTTCGTTCTTTGCT